GATGGCCAAGACCGGGATGCAGAACAAGGGCCTGGTGGCGCTTGCCAGCGGCCTCCGGCACAACTCGCTGGTGACACGGCTCTCGCTGTGCGGAAACCGGATTTCGGGCGCCGAGGGCGTGCGGGCGCTGATGGAGGCGATCGGAGCGGGCCACTCGGCGATGGCACGCCTCTCGCTCAGCCGCAACAAAGTCGACGACGCCGGAGCAGTGGTCATCGCCAGCGAGCTGCACAACGCCGGTGCGCTCTGTGTCCTAGAGCTCGAGCGCGCGCAGGTGGGTGTGTTGGGCGCCGGGGCGCTTGCACGCGCGCTCGAGTCTGCGCCGCGGCTGCAGCGGCTCCGGCTTGCAAACAACGCGTTCACGATCAAGGAGGTCCGCGGGCGCGGCATGTTTGCCAGCGACATGTCTGTCCGGCAGCCGTGCGAGGTCGTGCTCGCCAGCGACGAGGTCGTCCGCATCGGGCTCGCCCTCGACGCCGGAAGCACTTTTGTCTCGGACGAGAGTTCCGAGTGGCACTCGTCGTCGACATTGGGAGCGTCGGACGACGACATGTCGAGCGAGGGTGACAGCACCGGCGTGTTCACCTCCCTCGACTCTGACTCGTGGGAATAAACGTGACTCGGTAGGGCGTGGGAGGCACAGCATGGGACGGCGACCAGGGCAGGGCCACGGCAAGAGTGTCACAGATCAGGCATGGCGGCATCCTGGGCAAAGACGGCAACGAGATCGCTCTCGATGTCGGCAAGAACCCTGTCCCAGCCTTCGACAGCATGCAGCGCATCGGCAAGGTGATCGCTGAGTCCGTGGGCCTTCTGCTGAGCAGCCTGGGCAGGATCCTCGGTTGGAGCTGCAGCATGGGCGCCATACTCGCGGGCAATGGCTCGGAAGGCGGTCTCCATAGCCTTGGCCGCGAGGAGAAAGTCCTCGGCTGTCTCTGCATAGAAGCCCGGCTGGACCGGCGTGGGCGGGTCGCGCGCCACTGCAGAAGCAAGCGTGGCAAACCGAGTGTTGGTCTCGGTCAGAAGCTCATGTACGTCGGCGTGCGACATGGGGTGTGACGGGTGGAAGGTGGGGTGTTTGTCGCTCGTTTGCACGGTGGCCGGCGCCGACCGCGGCCGTCGCCCAGCCGGAGTCGCCGCTCACCGGGTAAGGCGGGCGGGCATTTGTGCCGCTTCCAGCTCGCCAGTTTTTTTCGGGCGACATGGTGCGTGTAAACCACGACTCGGGTACAGTTCAGACAGAACTACACTAACGCCTGTAAACTGGTTGGATCTCACATGTTCTGCGGCTCGCTCTTGCGGTTCGGCTAGTGACCGCTTGCTCTCCTTCTCGCAATATGCGAGTCCAAACGTTTTTCCACAAACGGCAAGTTGTGGATCAATCAGCACAATTTTTCTTTCACTGTGGGCCGCTGTTGGCCCGCACAGCCCGGTCGCTGTACAGAGAACATCCACAGAGCTCTGGGATGGTACTGGCTGCGCTGCAATAACACGTTTGTTGCAAGTATGTCGTACGCAGCACAATGGCATGTATGCCTCGCTAGATATGGTGCATGTTCCACAGCTCCTCAGCCAAACCGGCCACCGACTTTGTCTCCAATTCCAAAGTACAAACCCACACGAATGGCAGCAAGGCCAACAAACGTTGCTCAATGTCACAGCTGAACACCGTACACTTGACTCCACATCGGCATGAATGTACGTCACAACTTGTACCCTCATCAGCCAATCTCTGTGCATACACACGCCTGTGTACCTCGGAGTG